GGAAAGGGCCCTCAGCCCGGGCGGGTGAATGGGCGAGGACTAAAAAGGACAGCTTCGTAGGTGGCAGGCGGTCAAGGAGACTCTCCTTTTCTCGGGAAATGGTTTAGCCTCCTCTGCTGCGTTTGAATAATTTTTAAAAAACTGTTACGGTTTTACAGGTTGTATCCTTCAGATGCCCTGTTGGGCCCTCGTTTGCATCATGGCATTATCCAAGGCAGTGGATAATGTATTAAGTGATATAGGAGATGAGGGGAAGGATGTCAGGTATGCAAACAAGGCATGGTTTAGAGTGCTTTGTCCCTGCTACAGATGCTTTTTAAGAAACAGCAGTTCCTAAATTTTCATCCTTCTGAAAGGGACCTGCCCTTGATAGGTGTTGGTTTGCTGGAGAACTAGTGAACTCTGCTAATTTCTCCTGCATTCATTTTCAGGGGCCAAGTCAGGAATATGGCAACTCTAAAGGACAGTAAGTACTGCTTTTGATTGCTTTTGAGAGAGGGAAAGTGTTGCAGGAAAACCGTATGACAATATAATTTTGGTTAGCCTGTGTTGGTTAAGCTAATTGTGATACACATAACTGATACTTGAGCCTCCAACACTTCTTATCTTAAACAAGCGTCCTTCAGGAAAGGCGCCACTTAAAATGTTTTAGTGCTAATTTAGATGTCATCTCAGCAAACCAATATAGTTTTACTCAAACGTATTTTAAAAGTAACTTTATCATATGTGCTAAAACACATTTTTGTTCACCTTTAAGAATTCATTTATTTTCTGTTATGTTTATTTCCCTGTGCATTTATCCAGCATTGGGGGGAAAAAGGTCGACTGAATGGTTTCACTTTGATAATGCTTCTTTAAGCCATTCCTTATAGGTTCTTATACAGGGATATTGCCTTGGATTTCTGCTTGTCTATAGGACACCTGTTTTGTTTTCTTTTTGTATCAGTATTTTTATGAATCTCATTTTGCCACAAACTAAACAGAGGAGGGAGTTTATTCTGCCTCTTTATAGTATGGGGTTTTGGTTTTTTTTTGTTTCCTCCCCTTGTCATCTAGGAAAGGATGACAGTATACCTCAAATGATGCATTTGTGAAACAGGTAGAAGTGGAAGCAAAGAGAACAGTAAATAGGTCTTAGGTTGGGCTAATTATTAAATAAACGTTATGTCTGGGGGAAAAGACATACCTGTTGTAAAGATGTGTTTGGGTTAGCCAGATTACTACTCTTACCGCTTTCTTTAATTTCTTTTCTTTCTGTAAATACTGAGGGCATGTCTTTTATGAGGTTTATTTGTGCATTGTTTGGTTTTTTCTTCTTTGAGGAACTTGGCAAGGTATTTTTGGATGGCTGTTGCTAGTGTTTTAGTGCTTGGGTTTGATGTCATTATGCCCACTACAGCCCATGACCTTCAACTGTTAACCTTATAGTTACCAGGCGCTTGAAGTCCATCAAGAACATTCAGAAAATTACGAAGTCCATGAAGATGGTTTCTGCAGCAAAATATGCAAGAGCTGAGAGGGAGCTGAAGCCTGCTCGAGTCTATGGAACAGGAGCACTGGGTGAGAGAAGCCTCTTGCACTGTGCGATGCGGGAATAGAAGAGGAAGGCTTCCATGGTGGTGATAAAATGCCTGGACTTTTTTAACTTTTGGTAGAGTTTTTCCAAAACAATTTGTATCTCTAGGCCACTGTCACCTTGAGTATTCCTTATAAGTAATTAATGGATAGCTATTTTTAAGAGTCCTGATGTGAAATTCATTATGATTTCTGATTACTTTTTTAACTTTGTGTGGTTGCATGGTTGTGTTTGTTGGTCGTAAAAACACCACAACTCAGAATTTCTGGCCTGCTTCTGTCTGTTAATGGAACTATGTCGGGTCTCTGTAGCACCTACAGGTACTGCCAGACCTCCTTGTGAACTCTTGTGCTGTACGTGCTCCTGAGGCAGTGGACTTGCACAGTGGCCGTAACTAAGTAATGACACTGATTGTGTGATGCCCGATGCAGAGGTGTGGCTGGCTTTGAATCGTTTCTTTGTCACCTCTGGTCAGATTGTATGCAAACTTGAATGGTTGTGAGGGAGATAAAACTCATCTGGCCGACATTTGGAGCCCCTTTAGAAATGGTTTTAGTTAGAATAAGTCAAAGGTATTTTGATATGACCTGTTTGCTTCCTGGCACCCTTGAAAAGCTTACCCATCTTTTTTTTAGCTCTCTATGAGAAAGCAGAAATAAAGGCGCCTGAGGACAAGAAGAAGCACCTCCTTATTGGTGTGTCCTCTGACCGAGGTCTGTGTGGTGCTATCCATACATCGATTGCTAAAACCTTGAAGAATGAGATTACCAACCTCTCAAACGCAGGGAAAGAAGTCATGGTGATTGGAGTAGGTGACAAGATCAGAAGCCTGCTTCAGAGGTAAAAAGGAGAAGGGTTCGGTTTGATTTAGTGCTTTTGTTTGTTTTCTGTAGTAGAAATTTCCCAGACTGCTCAGAAAGCTCTGTGGCATTCGCAGGCAATTGCATTTAATTGAACTGTGTGAAATTCAGGCTCCTTTTAAAAAAAATTTGCAAATATCCTAAAAGGGGTTTTGATCATCTCGACATTCATGAAACGGCTGCATAGCACTGTTATGTTTTTGAAATAAAAGTCTGAAAGCTAGCAACGCTAGTGCTGTTACAAGTGTGTGTTTATCACTGAAGCTATTGTAATAATTTAACTGAAAAAAAGGCAAAATTTTTCTCAGACCCTAATTCAATAAAATGCTTAGTTCTGAACACTAGTAAGTTATGCTAGTAAGTCCTGCTGCCACGTAGTTGTACAGTAGAGCATCCACTTGGTTCTAACGCAGATCTGATATTACTGCAGGACACATGGCAATTACCTCCTGCTGACATTCAAAGAAGTGGGACGGAGGCCTCCGACCTTTGGAGATGCTTCAGTCATTGCCTCAGAGCTGCTAAACTCTGGGTACGAATTTGATGAAGGCTCTGTCATCTACAACCGGTTCAGGTAAGACTAAACGGAAACTGCACTGGAAAAATACTGGGTAGAAGGCTTCAAACAGCACGTTGGCCCGATGAAGTGATATGAAAACTGACTGTGAATTGTCATGTTTACTTTATTTCTTGAGGACGGAGTGCATTTTGTCGTGTGTGAAGAGCTGTTGGGGGTTCTTTTTTTTTTTATATAGCTGTGGTTGGAATTCTCTTTTTGCTTGTATTGTGGGTGCTGTTATATTTACAGTCAGCACGTCGTTGTATCCACATGCTATCTGAGCTCTCTTTATCAGGATTATTGCAGAACTTTGTGGAATTGGAAGGCCAGAAGTTGTCTATTCTAATTTGGTTTTAAACAGTCAATTTAGGGTTAGTGGAACTGAAGAGCTTATTACGCTATTTTTATACAGGTCTGTCATCTCCTACAAGACTGATGAAAAGCCGATCTTCTCCCTTGAAACAGTTGCTGGTTCTGGTAAGTAGTGAACTAGAAAACACCCGTTACATCAAGTGATAAATCACAGAAAAAGTAATCTGAATGTGGGAATATGGTATTAAAACATCTTACTATGCTGTTATGACACGTGTCATAAGTTTACCAGGTTGTTTTATCTTGGCAGTCAAAGGCTGACCTGTCAAGGTGCTGTGGGGCGGGGAGGTTAAAAAGAAAGGTTATGCTAATTTTGGTTTGAGATTCTCTCTCAAGCAACAGTTTGTGCATATGCCAAACTCTGCCGGTTCGAGTGTTTTCAGTACTGAATGGCCTGGGTATTGAGTGACTTTGCACTACTCAGTAAAAATACCCCAGAATGTTTCTGTAGAATTGTATGGGAAGATACGGGAACATCATACACCAGTAATGCATTTGGCCTTGGTCAGAATCTGACTTTCCTAGTATTAAATTGAATGAAAACACATAAAATACTTGGTCTCTCTGCTACTTAAAATTTTGTTATGAAAGTACACATAGTACATAGAGAAAATCCCTCCGCGCTGCCTTAAGTAGAGAAACAGGCTAGCCTAGTAGTCTTTCACATGGCATTGTGTTGTTTTGCTAGAGGTGGTATGTCTTCGATTTCTCTAAGTCCACTCTTTCGTATTTTACAGAAAGCCTAAGTATCTATGATGATATTGATGCTGATGTGCTGAGAAACTACCAGGAATTTACGCTAGCAAATATTCTGTACTACTCCCTGAAAGAATCCACCACCAGCGAGCAGAGTGCTAGGATGACCGCTATGGACAACGCGAGCAAGAATGCTTGTAAGTGTACACTGTGGGCTTCCCAGGACTTCAGTAGTTTAGCATGAAAGTACCAACCTCCCTTTGTGTAATTCTTTATTTCCAAAATTATAAGAAACGAGCTGGTTTCTCTCTTAATTCCATTTTGAGTCTGGTTTTTTGAGCTGGTTCAACTGGGATTCTTTTCTGAACATGTGAACCTTATTTAGTCCCTGGAAAGAAGGATTGCTGTCAAGTATATGAGGAATAAGAATAGGTAACTGGAAGTGAAATAACAAATTCTTTAATAAGAATATGAAATACTAAACCAATCTTGTAATGGCCAAAAATTCTTACGCTCTTCTCATGTGGCTGGTCTGAGGATTTGCAAAATTTTTATAAACCTGTACCTGCTTGTGAGCCCAATGTCATTGGCCCTGCACCAATTTAAAGGTGGGGAAACTGAAACAGTGGTTAATTACTTTACCACCTGTCATGCGGCGAGTTGAGAACATACAAATATTCCTTGGAAGGTGTACAAACTGAGCGCAGGGCAGAGAGTATGCAGTTGGTATTCGTGGGAGACAGCTAATAGCTTCAGTGTGGCGTGGTGACAAGACTTCAGTCCTGAGAAGGTAGCGCTGCATAAAGGATACTGGTGACTGAGTGAAGTTGGTGCGATGTGCTCTTGGGCTCCCTGGAACTGTAGGGGTGGCTCTCTGCTGACCACCTTGTCTTGAGAGAAAGGCGATACCTTCTGCGTTTAAAAAAAAAACATTTGAAGAAAAAAAATTTAAAAAAAAAATCTGGTTCCCTTTGCCAGAACAGGAGTAACTTGAAGGAAATACTGATACAGTTATTGGCAGTGATCTAATTTAAAAGCACGTAGTGCATGCCTGTGTGACGTTAAAATAAGTGATGTCATACCATGGTATTTACTAGTCTGTCGGCTGTTCTTCAGATGTTTAACTCTGATGCCTCAAGCCAAATTACCAAGTTTCTAGATTGCCTACTAGTAGTGTTATCTGTAAGGGGAAAAAAAGGAACAGTACAGTAAGCCTCTTGATCGTTTGCATGGATTTACAAGACTTTTTGGTGTTCTGTTCATACAGCTTCTCTTCATCTGTTTTTGAATACTTATTATATGTTTAAATTCCAATCTTAATTTTTTCTAGCTGAGATGATTGACAAATTGACCTTGACATTCAACCGTACCCGTCAAGCCGTCATTACCAAGGAGCTTATTGAGATCATCTCTGGTGCTGCTGCTCTGTGAGTACCTGTATAAATGTGAAGTAGGAGTTGTTGTAAAGTCATGTAATGCTTGTACGTCCTGCTTCAGTCAGGTTAACGGGGAAGGTTAGGGCACGTAGGTCCTAAAGCCAAAGGGAAGACAGTCCATGGCATGAATCCCAAGTTTTTCAGCTTGTGCAGTTCTAGTAACAAGTGTGAAGTTCGGCCAGATGAAGTTAAAACGCTGGTGAAGTAGATCTTTAGCCTCAACATGCATCCTTGCCTGAACAGGCAGTGTTTTTCCTCCTTTTTGGCGTTCAGCGGGTTTCCCCACACCTCCCTTCTACCTGGGCTTCTCCTGCTCTGTCTGCTCCAACAGCCCAGTAGTGTTGGATGGGGGAGAGCAGCTCAGGTGACTGAAATGGTTTTGGATAAATCAGCCGGTGGTGATGTTCAGAAGCTGAGAATTTGGGGGTGGGGTTGGAAGGAGGAGGGAATTTCCAGAATCTGTTGAGACTGAATGTGTATCTTACTTTGTAAGTTCAGTTTTTTGCTTATTTCGCTGAGAAGTTTTGTGAGGGTGTGTACTGCGGGTTACAAATGTGTGGACTTAGACCACAATTTGTAACTGCGTGTAGCTAATGCATATTACACCTAACAGCTAAAACTTTTGTGCTGTGCTCAGATGCAAATACATGTGTTAATATCCTGTGTGTTTACAAAATGCCTGGAATACATACCATATTGCAGTTACGTGCTGTATTGTGCTCCTCACAATACATTTGCGGTCATAAATACATGCATAGTTTTGCCTGAATTTGCATGAGTTGCTTCCTAACCTGCTTGTTCTGTTTTTTCTCGTAATACCATAACCAGGAATTAATCGGAAAAAGTGGTTCAGCCAAATCCAAGAGGTAAAGTTATGAAATAGAAACTAGATTGTGTTTTGAAATGAATTAACGCAGACAATCTTGAAGTCAAATGAGGAAGTCGGAATTCAGTGTTGTTGGTCAGAGAAACTTCTCTTCCCAAAGAGCTGGGAAACTGCCCGTTGCTAGGTTGAATCTGTCTGAACAAAAAGTTAAACACCAATAATTTTAAGCAACGTGGGTCCATGATAGCATATGTCCACATTTGACATCATCTTCTGTGGGTTTTTTTTTTTAAACATTTCTGGGTTATTGAACTAATTTGCAGTTACTGTTTTAATTTTTTCATAGGGCCCTGACCTTATGCAATGATTTAAAAATGCCTGCATGTAAGGCATTGTACCCGAAGAGGTTTCTGTAGCAAAATAAGCATATTGAAAATCTTAAACTTCAAGGAAAAATAGACTTGATAGAGAATTTGGGGGGAGGGGGTAAGGAATTTTAATTAGTTGAAGTATTCAAATTGGAGGAGATAAACATTTTGAATAAATAAATGCAAGGGTTTTAATTGGCTTCAATTTTCCTTACAGGTGAAGAGGAGCTCTTCTGAGCATATGGTTTAACTGCCTGTGTCTATGTTAACAAGACTGCTCTATTATTTTGTGAAGAAGTGGTAAAGCCCCAGAAATCTTAAATTCTTACAATAAACCGCCTACGTGAAACAAATGCTCTGGGTTGTCCATGGAGCAAATGCTCCTGGTGTCTACATTTCTGAGTTTGACTTGGTTACTCTTCGAAACAGGATTTTTTTTTTTTTTTTTTTAAAAGCTGTGCTCTACATTTTGTAATGTATCTGGCATGCAAAACATATAAGCGGGGGTTTCTTCATTTGAAGAGTGGAACAGATCACCGGTCTTTACCTTGTGTTTAAGTGTTGGTTTGTTACGTATGTTGTACTGTGTGCTGAAGGAGGTGACTCTGGAATAACGTCTGCATCGTGCAGTTGGAATGCTGATCTCTATCTCATTTGAATACCATATTACTACTATTTCTAGATGTTAGTATTTTAAAATGAACTGATCTGATTACATGAGTCATTTTGGTGTTTATTTAGAATGCACACTGGTTTTATGGTCAGTGTGTGTGTATATATCTGCATGCTATAAAATACACCACAGTTCTCAGCTCTTGCTGGCACAACAGGAATGTGAGAAAGGATAAAACATAAAAAATAAGAGTGTAGCAGAAGTGTAAGAAAGAAGCGGTAGTGGTGCAGTGTAACCACAGAAGTAGAAAGCTGCCACTCGGTCTGGTAGACAAAGCAAGGGCCTTGAAGGGCTCCATGATGCACGTGACGGAGATGGGAAGAGGGTTTGCAGAAGAGATCCGAGGAGAACGGAATCGGCCTTGAGCTTCAAAGCCGCCTGTGAGGGACGCAGGGTCAGGCGTCAGCAGCCACCTGCTCGCTCGGGCTGCTCTTGGGTTGAGTTGGATCTAACTCAGCTGGTCTAGAAACCGTGGGATCGAGTGCCGCGCTGGAGTTAATGTTTCCTTAGAGGCAACTTGTTGGCTTAACGAAGCGGTGCGTTGTTGATACCGTGCGGCTTTGTGTGCTGCCTTTGTACGCGGAGATGTGTATGTGGGTAAGAAGGGAAGTAGTAGTGGGACCGGAGGTGAGATTCAAAAAAACAAGACTGCCTTACAGCAGATTTGTTATGGATTTAGAAAACTCTTCCAATGACTTTTTTTAAGGAACGACAGTTCTAATGCTGCTCTTATTCACACAACTGGAGTGGCAGAGCTGTTGGAATGGGTGAATTCAGGGAGTACTAAAATGTGGGAAGGCAAACCAGGCACTGGACGTTGTGATAGTGTAGAAGTTCCTGATTTATTGTGCAACTCATAGTTTACAACCTTCAGCATGTAATTCTTTTAAGTATAACTTTATTTAGAACCCCTTTTAAATCACCTTTTCTTTCCTTTTCTACCTAGGTGCAAAACACCGCTTTGAAATGACAAGTCTAAAAAGACACTAGAATATAATGTACTCTGTTAAACTTGAGTTAGCCCCATTGTTTAAACAACTTCATCTTCTTTTTTTTTTTTTTTGAGGTAATCCTGATGATTTATGTTCCTCTTTTCCTCTGTAAATTTATCCATCCTCCCTGTTCTCTTCCATGTGGAATTACCTCCCCGTTGAAGAATACTTTAGGCTACTGCTGGCTTTCTAATGCAGTTCCCAGCACTGTGCCTGTCCTGATAGCATGTCAGCCAAGGTCTGTACCCATAGGGCCAAAGCTTTCCAGCACAGTCTGAGTTTTTGTGGCTGCCTGGCCTGCTGTCACCGCCTTGTGATGCAGCGTGTGCCACTGCTGGGCTCAGCGGGACAGGCAGCCATCCATTGCTGTCATCCCACAAGAGGGACAATGCATGCAACGCTGAGCGCGGAAACGCTGGTCTGTTTGAAATGGTTGGCAAAGGGGAAACGGCCGCGTGGGCCCTGGGCAGGACCTGCCACGTTCAGCGGCAGTGTGCCAAGCCAGCTGGGACTGTCGGAGACCCTCCTGCTGTCCCCAGCCCATCTGACTGTTCCCACTCCCTACACAACATGTTCTTTAATTCCTCTGGATAGGCAGGGAAATCCTTTCTGCAACCTCCAGCCTTCCCTTCTTCCCCCTGTCAAGACACAAAGGAGCCTGGGTCAGGTCGCTGTGCATGTCCGCGGAGGGAAGTTCTTTCCAAGTCCTTGAACCCCATGTTCGTAGAACCATGAGATGGTTTGGGTTGGAAGGGACGTTTAAAGGTCATCCAGTCCAACCTCCCCGCCATGGGCAGGGACATCTTCACCTAGGTCAGGTTGATCAGAGCCCCATCCAACCTGACCTTGAATGTTTCCAGGGATGGGGCATCCACCACCTCTCTGGGCCAGTGTCTCACCACCCTCCACATAAAGAATTTCTTCCTTATATCTAGTCTGAATCTACCCTCTTCTAGTTTAAAACCATTACCCCTTGTCCTATCGCAACAGGCGCTGCTAAAAAGTCTGTCCCCATCTTTCTTCTAAGACCCCCTTTAAGTACTGAAAGGCCGCACTAAGGTCTCCCCGCAGCCTCCTCTTCTCCAGGCTGAACAACCCCAACTCTCTCGGCCTGTCCTTGTAGGAGAGGTGCTCCAGCCCTCAGATCATTTTTGTGGCCTCCTCTGGAGTCCTTCTTGTGCTGAGGGCCCCAGAGCTGGATGCAGTGCTCGAGGTGAGGTCTCACCAGAGCAGAGTAGAGGGGCAGAATCACCTCCCTCGACCTGCTGGCCACGCTTCTTTTGATGCAGCCCAGGATATGGTTGGCTTTCTGGGCTGCAAGCGCACATTGCTGGCTCATGTCCAGTTTTTCATCTGCCAGTACCCCCAAGGCCTTCTCTGCAGGGCTGCTCTCTATTCCATCATCCCCCAGCCTGTATTGATACTGGGGGTTGCCAGTATCAATATAAGTAAGATCTTAAACAGTCCCGGTACGGACCCCTGAGGGACACCACTTGTCACCAGTCTCCATCTGGACATTGAGCCGTTGACCACTGCCCTCTGAATGCGACTGTCCAACCAATTCTTCATCCACTGAACAGTCCACCCATCGAATCCGTGTCTCTCCAATTTAGAGAGAAGGATGTTTTGGAGGACTGTGTCAAAACTGCATGTTAATTCCCTTAAGAATACTTGCGAAGTTTCAAAGAAGGGGCATATGCATTTGCAGCTTTCCACAGCACTCAATATGTTTCCAAGATAGGAACCGCGATGCCAGTTCAAAAGTGCCCAAAGCTTCTCAACAGACTGAAGGGAGTGAGCAAAGGTCCACCTGCGCTGACAAAGGATGAGCTGCAGGACTGTGTCATGGGTGCAGCTCCCCTCTCCTCAGGTTGCAGGCTTGAGATGTGACTGACACAGGAGACTGGGCTGTTTATTGACTAATCAATACACTACTAATCATCTAATAAATCAATGAGCTAATTCGTGAACTAATTAACTTCTAATAATAGACCACTATTATTCACAATTCTGTCCTATACACTCTGACTGGTTACACACAATTACCGAGTTACAGTTTAGCACTTGTGGTATTACCGTGTACACAGCCACCACTGAGTAACAGCTCTGTTGTGCCTCATTCTTCCTCTCGCACCACTCAGTAACCGTTATTTTTGTTTCTGGATCCTCCTTTTTGCCACCGCAGTTTCATCCGTTCCCTGTTTGTTTTTTTCCCAAATAAACAACTCGCCCATAAACACTTTTTCTTCATTGTTGCCAATTTTGCTACCTCTGTTCCTCAAAGCTGATGTTTCTACTGCCTAGACAATCTTGGCCTTCTGTGTAATTGCTTATATACCTGCCTACTTACAGGTGGCCTTGCAAGGTTCTGCTTCCCCAAAAGATTCCCCAAACTTCCCTTCAATTTGGTTCATCACTGGCTCTTAAATAGGTTGTGTTTGTTTTTTTTTTTTTTGTGGTTCCACCACATGCAAAAAACTGCAGCTGCAGAAGACATTCACAAAAGTTGTCTTTTTCTTAGCTCCGGAGGAACTACTGACATTAGAAAGGAGAGAAACGTAACAAATCAGCCTTTTTTTTTTTCTTTTTTTCTGCAAAGGAGAAATATCCCCTACAAGTCTTCTGGCGTTAAAGTCAATTTTGATTTAAAGTGTCTTAAATCAGGCTCCTTTCCGTGTCCTTAAGTCTCTTCACTATCAAAGGTTTTTCTGTTACACTAAAATGTCCTCTCCCATTTCTCAGATTCCCGTTCCTCACAGCACAGGCCTAATCCTCCAACTTCCACCTGTGCGCAGGTTGCTCCAAAACAAACCTGATGCAGCGCTGGCCATACGTGTGACATATGACAGCACGCGTGGCGAGGCCGTACAGCTGTGGAGTGACGCGCTGGGACCTGAAACCGCAATCTCCAAACCAAAAAGCGATCAACTGACAGCGTTAGCATGAAGAGTAGTTAAAGGGCTTCACAAAAAAGGCGGATTTAACGGCAAGGGCTTGACAGCCCGCGCTTGACGGCGGTGGGCATGAGCTGCCTGAGGGTCCGTGGAGGGGAGGCCTGGCAATGGCGAGGCCTGGCGCCCGCCTCCTCCATCCAGCTGGAAAGGAAAAAAAAACCACCAGAGAAATAATTAATCAGGGCTTCGGATAAACCGTTCTGACCAGGAATTTTCAGCTCTCTGGGAACACGTGGCGTTGCTGCTTGTTTAAATGATGCGCCCGGGCCCTGCTCCAGC